TTCAAGTTTGTCAAAGGCTGTGTATTTTTGAGTAGCAACTCTGCATTGCTCTTTTTGCAACATAATTAGCCTTGCCGCCTTCATCTATCTCACCTAAGACTGGAACTATGCTGAAATCACTTGAATATCAACATTTTTGTAAATGTAATTTTTTGCCTATAAAAAAGATTTGAATCCCCTCTAACCAACGCGGCGCTCATGTCCTTAGGAAGACATTCAAAAGCTGCTGGTAGGTGAAAGCAGGACTAAACCCAGGATTGGGAATAAACACCAGGTAGAACAATGGTTGCCCACATCCTCTCCCCAGAATCCTTTCCCTCTCTAAGGCCTAGTCCCGAGTTGTATTAGTGGCTCCACTCACATCAATGTCCCCCCTAAGGACATGAGCGCCACCAACGCTATAACGGGATCCCTCCCGTCATGCTCATTCTTCATTAAAGACAATTAAAAAACGGTTAAGGCATAATAGCGACTGCGTTAATTTCATTGGGATGAGCCACGAACTTGTTTTCCATGCCTAAACGCTAAGACACTTGGACGAAGCTCTACAAAGAACTTCGGGACCAGCCATTCTCCGCTTTAGATTTGTCCTCTCAAATATATTTACAATTTTGGTACAGGTACCACTCGGCTTACATGAAAAAAATTACGAAACGGAAGTCGAACTAATTTTTTGATTATTCTCCCTGAAAATTTCTAAGTTCTATGTTTTTTACTCAAACCTAAGTATTTTATTAGCATACTCAGCATTTTCCTCACGAAAAATGGTTGTCGTTTCCGAAGAACTGCTGTTGTACGTAGAAGGATCTGGCCACTCGAAAATGGATCACCTCGAGGTTCACGAAAATCTCAAGTTTTTTTTTTCGTGGAGACGTACGGTGCAGTGGTATGTGGCGCCACTTCCGCGCGCTGGCTCGACCGCCAAATCTCAGATCAGATCTCGCCTTTGTCGACCAAGCCTTCATTGATCATTGTTTAGACGGTAACTCACTCGAGCGCCACTACGATTCTGAATGAAAGTGGTTGGGTGGCGCATGACAAAAGGATTCATCAAAGCCAAAAGCTTCATCCTTTTTATCTGGTGAAAAGAATGAAAAGAGAACCTAAAGTCCCAACCTACCAATTTCTACGATGGCTAGGTTACATCCACTTGATATTACTGGCAGTTCCTGAATAAGCCCTACCTTCAACGCAAATTAGCAGCATATATGGATTCCGGTATTTATTTACTTTACTCTCGAAACAAAAGTACTGCGACAAATATGGCCGGCTTGAACTCCTAGGCCGATGTCAGACTTTGCGAATCGCGCGATTCGCTAGCGTCTGCGGTCGCGTCGCGGCCAGTGAATCACTCAATTGGCTGGTACCGCAACGCGACCGCGGACGCTAGCGAATCGCGCGAATCGCTAGTAGCGAATCGCGCGATTCGCAAAGTCTGACATCGGCCTAAAATTATATATGGATGTCTGATTGTTAATGGGCGCAGAAAGAAATTTACTCATTCTCTTTTAGCGAAGTCCAATAGCATAGTTATTTCACTGTGAACCATTAAGATTATGCAGAAGGTTTGCCTTATCACTTTGTTGCCGATTTCGAAAATATTTTGGGAACCTGTTCTGTAAATAGATGATTTTGTTGAACAACCAACCGTTTTTGTGACGAGAGCAAAAACCTAGATCTATTTATCAAAATCTATTTACACAGATCTACGGCGGCAGTGCAACTAATAACTTCTACAATTTATACAATAACTATGTACAGTGGTCTAACCATGCTGAGCGCTGCTGCAAAAAAAGAGAAATTCTTCAGAAGAGAACAAAAGTCAGTAGCAATCACTAACTACACATCAACACGTACACACCGGATGTTACATAGTAAATGGAAAAAAGTCAAAGATTTCCTGATGACAACACGAAACACTACAAATACTGGCTTTGTACACATTGCCCTACACACAACAGCTCAGATAGTGAGGTTTATAAGAGATAAGGTGATAAATGCGTAAGTAAAAGAAGAAAAAGAACTGCCGACAAAAAGAGAAAAAAATTAGGATGGAGGATTATGAAGGATTATGCAAGTATTGATTAGTTTATTCCTCATCCAAATCCCACAGGGACTCGCCCAGAGCTCCATTTTGCGAGAGTGCACGACAAGACAACAGCATGAGACGCTTCAGAGATTTGTTGTGAAAGAAGAAATTCAGGCACCACAAGCAACCGTCTTCCGAGAATGGGTCGTCAGCATAGTTTGATTTGAAGCTAAAACGAAGAATCGTATTACACTTTTCACTGAATTTTACAGACTTTAGCTGTAATGGTAGTTGAGAGGCGTGAAAAATTCAAAAAGCATTTCCATTCTGAACCGACCAATTTCTCTATTTTTAACGAACCGGACTACAGCCGGAGAAAAACCTTTTTTCTTGTTTTTCTTGGAGGAGATTCAAACGGACCTAGGCACTAGCAAGGGCGGCCCGGAAGCAGAACTCCCCAGTGTGGACAGGTAGCAGATACAAGATCCAATTAGGGAAGGGGACTAAACAAGGATCCAGGCCCGCTTTTCGGGACTGAAATAGGGATCCGTTACCGCAAAACAGAAATGAGGTTATAGCATAATTTAGAATTTTTTCTGCCACTGTAAATTACCAAAAAAGAAATGGATTTACAGACCTGTATATCCGACAATCGTTTGGCTGAATTTCAGCATCAACGGCCAACCACAGTTCGTCACGCATAGACGCATAGCCATTCACAGTAGCAGAAAATTTGTTGTCAACCGCCTCCATCACAACCTGAAATGAGGAAAAAACTAATTCAAGTCAATATTTCTGCCCTCAGCTTATAGTATGTCTTGTATCAAAAGGTAAACCTCGGAAGGCTGCAAGAAATGAATCTCCATTTAAGAAAGGTTTGTGGAAAATGGATCACCTCATTGGAAGAAGCAAAACTTGCCTCAACGTTCGGAATCAGAGAAAAGCTATTGCTCTTCACATCACTGAAGTCATAATCCGGATATGCTATATTAAGTGCGCCGATCAGGTCAAACAACGTTCGCTTTGATATGGAATCCAGGAGCACGAACTGAAATGTTCCTTTATAAGGGAACTAGTCAGAAATGTTTTGAAATCGAAAAATAAGTTTTCTCACGTCATCAGCGTCCGTTTCAGATCCAGAGTGGCCCGCTTCAGATAAATGGCGCATTCTAGCCGAATGACCGATCGGAGACGCAGATATGGATAAGAAGTCGTCGGGAGGGGATAACGGCTGAATAAACGTGAATAATTAGACAATGATTCCACAAAACTAGAACTTGTAGGTAGTTTCACGAAATTTCCGCTTGAGACAGTGCGGTGCCGAAAAAACTGTATCACTACGATTCACTAAATAAGTACCCTAAACCCGTGAAGATAACTGGGGCGCACCGCAGAAGAATTTGTACGAATGGAGCAGTAGCTGGGGCGTAAAGTAAGCATGGCATGGCGTTTTCGCCGGTGAAATAAGTTACCGATGAGTCAATTGCTGCGCAGTACGGCTTCAAACCTTGAAAACCGTGCCGTCCTCTGAATGCTTCACCCCCCTACCAGCGTGTTGCCAGCACCGTTCGCTTTTCATTTTGAGAAAAAAAATTCAAATTCAAGCGACCGTATCTTCATTGTTGTCCTAATAACAATGGGTTATCAATCAAGGCATGACATTTTTGACATAATTCAGGTTGTCGCAATTAACACTTCCAACGACCATTTTCTTGACCTGATTCGTCCTTAGTTGAAAATCAGTTATCTAAGCGCTACCTGAACTGTCCTTTTTGAAGCGTCAACGCGCTGCCCTTGCCAGCCTATACTGCCTAAATAGTCTCGTGGCCACTATGACCTCGCACGGTACAGCTTTTGCCTCACTTCAGATGACATACCCACCTCTTCCTAGTCCCTTGTCCCCCTACTCCTGGTGATGTTCGAAGCTGAAACAGCTGCCCTCTGCCTATTTGAGCGACAGAGAACATGGAGGCAAGTCCAAGCAGCCACATAACCGAATCAAGGGGCAAACAAAATGATTGCATTTTGCGTGTTCTTGACGAATACTCTGTCTTAACGCCACTGGCTGTTTGAATGCTTCGAATGTTCGAGAAGGTTACCTGTCGTTCATTAGCGTGGTTCGCTTCATTGGATCCACCATAGGCTTTCCACTGTTTCTTGTCACTTTGTACCATTTTACACGAATATGACTCGAGTCTAAATTTTCAATTGCTGGCGCGGTTCCACTAACAACAACGAACACTGCAATTCACAAAAAAGAAGCATATTTATAACACAGAAGAACAGTTTTACAAAGGCCTGAATACTAGAGCAAAAGTTTCATACTGGGAAAGCAATCCGATTGCCTGTAGGATAAATAAACTCGTGTCAGTCAGAATCCAGTGAGTACCAACATATCAAAACGTTAGGTTTGCAGTGCACAACTCTGTAAAGCACTCCACAAGCGGTGGACACGCCCTCAGTCCACACGATTCTCGCTAAAAAGGTGCGGATCTCAGACTCGCCAGAACGTGTGCAATCGCAGCGATTCTGGGCCTGGATGCCCAGAGTCACGCTGTCTTGGTGCAGTTGAGAGACGCCCCTGTGTTAACGCACTGGAACCTATCCTTTGAACAAAACATTGGTCAATCTGTAGGTATCTTGTCGACCAAACTACCCATCCAAGTCCTGTACCCGCCTTCGACCAAAACTAATAGGTCCTGTACCCGCGGTTTGGCGGTTTATACAGCCAAAACCCATGCCATTCTTTATTTCCAAGCACATCATTCACACTTAATGAATTAATACCTATTCGATCAGGGGCTCTATACAAGTGGGGTGGGCACGCCCAGCTTTTGCACGCAATGTTAAAGTGACTTGTCCTCAAACCCCCACCGCCTAGATTTGGCTACAGTCTACTCCGTGGAAACACGACGATTGCCCGAATAATTCTGTCGCAGCTGCGCGGGTGACAGTTATGTAGTAGCGTCGGCTAACAGTCCCACATTACATCAACATTTCTGCTGAGAAAAATGTCGGCGGTGACCACCCTACTTGTATAGCATCAGGGTTTACGTCCAATGCATCCCGTTTAACCTCCTCTTCGATACTCGATGTAGATCTTCGATCCAAGCGTACTCCCCTCACAAGCGCCTTTTTTGATTGGTGATTCACCTGCCTGCACCAATCACAAAACATTACACATCCCGCCCCCTCAACGTATATATCGAACTGGAGTATCTTCTGTTGTCAGTTGAGAGTAGATTAGTGCTACTTACCAATATCATTCGATAGCCAATCAAATTCTTTACTTCTGGTTTTGGTTACTATGCTCATGGGAATAACTTAAGAATAAATGCTACTTGACGGTCCAGACTCCACTCCCCGCAGTCAAATGCGCTTCCTATACTTAAACTTGATTGCGAGCGCTTTCTAAGCCGCTGAAATTTCCAAGTACTTCATTGAAAACGCTGACAAGAAACGCTCGATCAGCATAGCACGATTCCTGTCCTCAGGAAGAAATCACAATTATGACGAGAGGAGTAAGGACAAACTGAAGTCCGATGAAATCGATAGGACTCTCGCTAAGAATAGAATGAATAACTACGCCAAAAATTATGAGGAACACCTGCGATGTGATAAAGCAAACACACGAACAAAAACTGGAGAAAAATCAATGCGATCGACAAAGTTCTCGCGTGGTTTCGCTTGGTTTCACCGTAGTCACACATGCTACACAACGGTCGACGCCTGAAAACCAGCTTCTTGTCGGCGTCGAGTTTCAGCTGTGAACAGGTTTGAATTATTTCAGTCTCCATTGTGACATGGTTCTATTTTTGGTACTTGTGATAATTATAACTTGAATGATCAGCTTTTTCGCGAATTTTCCCATGTGGTTGTTTGTTTTCATGCTGTCTAGTTCTATATTGGGGTCTATTCCAGTTAGGGGGCATCATGATGCAGTTTCTCGGCGAACTAGTGTGAACTCGAACATTCCAGCTTTTCACGCATGTCAAGTGACTGCCCTCACCCCCACCCCCTAGACTGGCTACACTCCCCCTGGCTCGGAGTTACCCTAGCTTTCTGGAAAAACTGCATCATGATGCCCCCTAACTGGAATAGACCGTCTATTGCTTTGCTACGCGTAAATATTAGGGATATTTTGATGCAAATTAGAGAATTTAGAGGGGACCGCTCAATATCTTACGCTTATTCATTTGTTTGTGAGTTGATGTTACAAGACATTTACCATTAAAATAATATCTTTACCTCGAACGGAGGCTAAAACATCAAAGGAACAAGTGCGAAGGTCGAAGATTCATTCACCGTAGTCGCGGGACCGAAAGCGCCCATAGTCGGGGACAGTTCCGATTTCCGAATTCCGCGCGCACTATTTAGTACTCGCGAAGTACTGCTCTAAAGTGGAAGTGAGGGTGGTAACAAAAGGAAACGTCTGAATTTCGTTCATTCTATGTTCACTGGAAAATGAGAGGAAGGCGATTTGGCATTGGAAAAAACGGAATCGAATGCTGCACCCTTCTTAAAATAACTATCGACACGATCTCTATTGAGTTCTGGTTCTACGGAAATATGACTAAGGATTCTAGACGGAAATTTTTAATAAACGTCCTTGATGTTTTTTTCAATGATAGTTTGTATGCCGAAACGGTGGAAGAGGGTGTAGTGGTAAATGGCGACTTGAGTACGGGCAAAGTCCTTGGGCGGGTTAGTTGAGTGTTTTAGCACTCATCTGGGAGGATAAATAATGTAGCTGGCTCCTACAAGTTATTGTATTATGGACCAAACTGTA